ACATGAATCAGAGGATGGAAACACTTCAGTTGTCTCTACATTGATGTTAAAATGAAAAGATTTAGAAGTTTAGGTTTTTTAACGTCTGTATTATAAAAACGAGAGAATGTCAACTTATCCTAACCCTTATCCTTACTTACTTACCATCAAAGCTCAAAAATGAATGGGGACAAGATGCGAACAAAGAAAAACCACTGAAAATGTACTCTAAGAATATTGTTCCGTTGAGGACACCTGTTTTGTTATCATTTAACGTCACATTCTCCAGAGAGCACCTGATATATATGAAAGTTATACCACCAAGCATATCATCGAGAATCGAACACACCAAACTAAAAATCAGGACATCGACCATTTGCCGAGGAGATCATGATCTTGACCTTATAACCTCATCATAGTGAACAGCTTCCCATACATTACAACCAGTTAAGAAGTGTGTGAATTGACGTCATCATCACCTTCATATATATAATATATGAAAACCTATTAAGTTTATACTTACCTACCTGACGAAAATGTTTAATGACTTATCTTGTTTTCAAAATGATAGCGTGAATTTCTTATGCCAATATCTTAGAGCCTCAGTATTCAGTGTGGTTTCTGTTGTTGCCTCAAACTCATTATGTATAACTTCGCTAACGATTAACTGCAATATATAAAGAAAATTGCCGCTTTGCATAATTTGGTGTACTCATGCACAGTATATCTGAAACGTAATGCACTTGAATTAAATAGTTTTCTGTTGAGATCATGAAAAGTAGAAATTTGTGAATTGATTGATGTGAATCCATATTTCTACATACGTTCCAATATTTAAGAACCCTAGCATTACTGATGAATTCAAGTAGAACAAAATAGCTGCATAATGCAAATTAATAATTTTTGTTCTGTTCTATTTAATTCTGCATTTGCAATGAAATATGCTAAACACTAGTGTATCTTGTGCATATCAACTATTAAAACACCAACACTAATTCACTCTCTACAAGTTAAAAGCAAATGGGCGTAACATGTTAAAATGGTCATTTCCTGTTACATAAATAAACTCCTCTCAAAGATTTTATTTAAATTCGCCTGTCACACAATGACAGTGCTTAATCGTAGCCGATGACTGATAAGGGTTAAGTGTTGGTCAAGTATTGGTTTTTGCAGTGACGTTAGACCGTTTGATATCAGAAAGCTCACTCTAATCCAGGTTTTATGACGTAATAAAGCCACTACACGTCAAGTGGTAGAGTTAGGTAATTATAGCATTAACCGCCTCACGACACATTATTGAGTGGGAAGTGTTTTCAGGTATTCTGATAATGTAAAGCTTGAAAATACATTGACATGATGCATCATGAAGATTAATATGTCTACTACGGCTGAAATTTAACTTCATTACAAACATAACAACATCTAAGGTGAACGCGTTACATCGGTACAGTAGTGAAATGTAGAGAGGGTTTTTTCTACCCTACCGGACATAAATATCCACACTTCCGGTGAGCCAAGACAGTCTGCATACACAGGAAATGGCATTTCGGGTTTGTGTAATTGTTAATAACGTCATATTTATGACATGTCGGGGTCAGTTGCGGTCATTGACGTCATTCACGATTTTCATACGGGCCTCAAATGCAAATGACTATACCGGTAGTTACAATGTCACATGTATATTTATTTGTTGTTTTATCTATTATGCCCTACCCTCCAGCTAGAGAAAGATCCTATTAATCCAGATACAGAAGACAGATTATGAGACATGAGACATATCATAGAGATTTATATAATGGACTTTTGTATTCCTATGTTTTCAAGAAATATTTAAAATAGTTTTTTTTATCTTCTATCTAACATATAAAATTCATTCTGAGGATAGTTGATTTTATGTTTACGAAAATCGTTATACAAAACGTTTATTGCATGTTAAAATTCAGTACACATTAAAAAATCAAATGTTTATTAATAACAGAAAAAAATGTCCTTTATTCTATGTATTATTATACTGATTTCATCATCATATCAGATTACACGTCTGTTTACAGCATTACCTTATTCTTAAGTAAATTAGTACAGGACAAAAAATATATTTCACATAAAAAATCTATAGATAAAATAATTGTTTATGATTATTTTAAGTGAGAGACATAACATTAATTGATCCCTTTTTTCATGGCTGTTGTTGAAAGACATTTTCTTATCTTTGAATTTTTTCAAATGTCTCCGAAAAAAAACTGTCTTCTGTTATTGTCTCACTCTTTTAGTCTCCTGTTAAAAACTTGTTTAAGCAAGACGAAACATTTGTATAGAAAACTGGGAAATACACATACATCATGTTATTAAGAGATTAACTTTAAATTGTTGTTTGATTTGATATAATATTAGATTCTAAACCGTTCTAATTTTTAACATTGATATTACCAATAATTGGTGATAATTGGTAAAAAAAATACGGTAAGAATCAACAAGTAATGATCTTGAAGTAACATAAGTGAGTGTAAAATATTCCGAATCCGATATAATAAAGAATAAAATTCCATTTGCTTGAATGAACTCCAAAGACACTGGAAAGATAAAAACAGAAATTGATAAAACAAGAAATCATGAAACATTCTCTACTTTCATATTTGTGTATATTAAGTGTACATAACCTTTTTGTTTTAAGGTCAATATCAGTGATTTGATGCACGACACTAAATTACTATATAGATATGTTAGATTTGTATATGTAATGTACGAACGATAAGAGGGATGTAATATATGTGTGTGAAATAATGAACAATTGTTATTATTGTTAGGTAACAAGAGGCATTTTCAAGCGAAATGAATCGTCGAGAATCAGAAGACTCTCACTAAAGAAGGAATGTCGTAAAATTGATATTCATTTGGACTGACAACCGTCAATAATAGATAACGTTATTCAGCCAAATAACATTAGAGGATTTGAAATAGCTTTGGACAAAATCTAGAACTGAAACACAACTAGAGGGCGAGATGACATTGCTTTGGAAGTGAATTTGGACTTTGTAAAAACTAGATGTGGGCATAGTGGCATTGCATACCCGTGTTAATAAATTATCCTATCTATTCTGTTCCTATTAGTTACTATTAAACTAAATGTTTCCTGACCTCAAAACAGTACTAAAACGGACAGCTTTTATTAATCATAAAATTTTAATTAGTAAAATAGCATGCCTTGTGTTTAATAAAACAAATCAATTGAATCAATGTTTATTTGTTGACAATTAACGATATGACTTTGATGTTGTTTTATATCGATTTTTGTATTCATATAAGTATGACACTTACCGTACTTCACTTTTTCAACTGTAAAGAAAGGCGATTAACAGGATTATGTTTGTCTCATCTGGTCAGAATGTAAATAGTGTTGATAGGGTTCGTCACCCAAGGCTTTAACCATTTAATAAATACACATAAATAAAAACTTAATCTCGTATTGACCACGCGCTCGGACAATGTACTTCTGGTCCAACCTTTACGTTCACATAAATAAGTTAGATATACATGTACCGAAATCTTGTATATGGCGTCTGGACAGGTGAGAAGAAATACATGGTAGACAGGTGAGGCATTTTTTAGTATAATCATTATATATACTCTCTTTCTTGAAATATGTTTTTTATCTTAGTTTTTTTCCTATATATATGTGTATAGATAAATTATTAATGATTTCAAAAATCCTAAAAATCCCATATTATTTTCCAGTGTTTGTTCGTCTACATCTGATTAATAAATTTGTTATCCAACTCTTAACGTTTTGATAACGTTATTTAAACACACATTTAAACTCATTCGTTGACTTGCTACAATGTTAGTCATGATTAATTCCGTCATCTGTATACCAACTACTATTAAAATAACCGCCACCTATATACAACAACTACCATTAAAATAACCGGCACCTATATACAACAACTACCATTAAAATAACCGGCACCTATATACAACAACTACCATTAAAATAACCGGCACCTATATACAACAACTACCATTAAAATAACCGGCACCTATATACAACAACTACCATTAAAATAACCGGCACCTATATACAACAACTACCATTAAAATAACCGGCACCTATATACAACAACTACCATTAAAATAACCGGCACCTATATACAACTACCATTAAAATAACCGGCACCTATATACAACTACCATCATCAATATGAACTATTTCTAGTGCTTAAGTGTTAATCGACAGACTTTAAAATCATAATTATCTCTTGTCTTATCAACTTTATTTCCAGTGAATCGGATAAACTCGCAACATGGGATATGCTAGCATTAAAGATAGTGGCAATATACTGAAATGTGATATAAGGTCAAGAATATGTTTGTTGATAATGTAGTCTATATCAAAAAAGGAAGTAATGTGACATATAAAGATGAGACTATCGGGTCTGTATAAATATACCTTATCTTAAATGGCTGGCATTTTAATATATCGTACAGCTGAATTTAATATCGTACGTCATAAATTACATTATAGCTCACGTGTTTTCTTCAGTGAACTATATTTTGTTTTTAACATGGAAGAGTTTCAATATACATATGCATATATCCCCTTGTTTCATTGCTTTGAAGGTTTGGTTACATTATACAAGGGCTAAATCCACTAGATTCTAAATAAGGAGTGGGGTATTTAATTTTGCATATACGAATCCTCAGTATTTTTTGTGGGTTTTTGTTAGTATGGAATATTTAAATGCACGACTATCGTGCTTCAGGTTCGTCCTGTTTTTCTTGTACGCATCATAAATATTCTGTGTCTAATTTCAGCTCAGACCTGTCGGATTTATAATGGTACGGAACAGTTGATTGATATTATGAGTTGACACTGATTAAATCTGTGATAAAAACTACCAGAACAATGTAATGATTTACTTTTGTGAACCATGGATTTAAATTCAAGTTTAAGTTGTGTGTAGTACATGACTGCTGTGTTTTCAAATCAGGATTTTGACACAGCGTCACAACATCAAAAGGTCAGGATGGATGAGAACTGTGATATGCCGGAAGTCGTCACAGGTAAAGAGGTAAATATGATTATCTACTATAATCGGCTGTATACAAGTGTGACATCTATAACTGAGATGACAACCAAAAGTTGTCCTCAACTCGATTCGAAGAACCGGGTAAAAAAAAAACAAACAAACAAAAGTAAGAACGGAGACTCCTGAAAATACAGGGAGTGTAAGGCCGTTAACAGCGGATTAAAAAGCTTATCCTTTAGAAAGTCGTCTTATTCACATTTAAAGTTAGACAACAATCGTTGATTCTGTCGACGTGTTGATATTTTCTTTGTTGTTGCTGTTGACATTTTGATGTTTTCTTTGTTTACAATGTTGACATTTTGATGTTTTCTCTGTTGATTTTGTTGACATGTTGATATATCCTCTGTTGATTCTGTCGACATGTTGTTTTTGCTTTGTTGACAATGTTGACATGTTGATATTTTCTCTGTTGATAATGTTGACATGTTGATATTTTCTCTGTTGATAATGTTGACATGTTGATATTTTCTCTGTTGATAATGTTGACATGTTGATATTTTCTCTGTTGATAATGTTGACATGTTGATATTTTCTCTGTTGATAATGTTGACATGTTGATATTTTCTTTGTTGATAATGTTGACATGTTGATGATTTCTTCATATATTCTGTTAAGATGTTGGTATTTCCTCAATGATTTCGTTGACGAGTCGGTAATTTTTTCGTTTGTCCTGTTAATATGTTGTTATTCCCTTTGCTGTTCCAGAGACAGGACAGAACAGCCAGGCTGGTGTTTAACAGAGAAAATTTGAAGGAACTTCGTAAAGCTGTCAATGATCTTTTTGATATATTCCACGATATTTTGGAAAGAGATTTCGAATTCGGAGCATATTTCAAAGTAGAAGATATCCTGAAGAGACTTGAAAATGTGGTAAGTAATATATATATATATTCCAGTAGATTTACAAAACAATACGCCAAGTTTTCATATTTCATTTTTACTTAGACCTAGAATAGCACAGAATCATTTTTTTTCCACTCATGAAGCTGCTTCCAACATGTTATCAGTATGTGGTGTGGGATGATTTGTTTAACTAACTCATTACCGATACCTAGCCTAATAGACAGTACATGAGTGTAAGATAAAATTAGTCAAACAAATTCAATAATTTCGTATACCACTTGCATTCACATAATAAACCATTTAACGACTTTAATGAATTACAAATTGCAATGACACGAGTGAAAGATTCTATTATTCCATAACTCATATTTCTGGACAATAAGCTAAAACTTTCAGAAACACTATTAAATACTGACACGTCAACAAAATATCAAGTTAATTTAAGAAAAAAATAAGATCAGAGAAAATTACACGAAGATTTCTGAAAACAGTACCTTCGCCGTGTTTATCTTGTCAATCCAAATAAGTAACGTTTTGCAATGAGAACAATGTAAATTAACAAAGGAAATATTAGGCATATTAACGGTAATCAAACATGTCCAACTTGACATCAAGCAATCTTTTATGATTTAAAGACATCATCAGTATATCTGAAAGTGAAAATGAATGACTTTGCAAGGCCTTGTAACCAGTTTTGCTAAGCTCTGAGATAAATTCAACCTCGCGTAATGACAGATGTGCAGTTTGTTCCCCTAGGTGTGACAAACGTCTTTTGGACGATCTTACCACCAACTCAACGAAAAATTGTTAACCAGAAATAAATTATAGCGTATTAATTGATTTTAATGTAAGACATACTTATCAAAGCATGACGTAACAATAGTGTTCTTATATATGTCTTACGATATTTAAGATATGACCCTATGACATTCCACAACAGGTAAGATATATGATCAAATAAGTGTAACATCGCTATTTAGACCACTTTGGGGACTGGACAAAAGTGGTGTTAACAGTGAGGTGGATCAGATTGAACGCCTTGAACTGTAACTCTGTTTAAAAGAAAAAAAATACTGTATATATAGACATATGTATCATTAATCAATGTACATGTATATTATTCAACAATAATAACTTCAAGTTTAATAAACTGTATATAAAATGTTGAAATTTATGAAATGAATGTAAAACGGATAAAATTGGTGAATTGACAAAAGAATATATTCCTTTGTTAGTTTATATTATAATATACATGTATATTTACTATTGTAAACATTGAATAAAAGAAAACAATCAATTTTAAGTTCAATAGGAATTTTATATTATTTTTTTCAAACTTTTCATATAATTTACAAACATTTCAACTCAGTCAATGTATAACACAATACAACACATTTGTCTCTATACTTAAAAAAATGAGTGCAGTATACACTATCGTGACGAGCGACGAATCTGGACAGTCTCCTCTTCCATACAGTCCTCGGCTGAATTAAATAGTTCCAAATGTTTTTGGAGATTTTTCCTGGCAGCAAACTTCTGCAAGTTCTTGATAGCTTTAAGAGCAACTTGTAAAAATTTGAATCCTCCGTCTCATCAATATCATTATCGTGTCACTCATGTCATCTTCAAGATGTGTACCAGTGATGCTTGACAGTCCAAATGTATCACTGATAATTGACAATCCCGACCATCCTCTAGCACCTCCCAAGCTGGAGCCTGTTGATCACAGTCAGCATACTCCTCTGCTGTCATGTCGATGTCACAGGGTGGACGATCTCCTGCAGTTCACAACAGGTCCCTGAGCTCACTAAGAGGAGTGTCATCATCTGTCTAATCAACAACAACATCACTTACACTGATACCACCTTTCGCAAAACATTTCCCTAGTTTCCTTCTTTACATCCTTGGCAGCACAACTCACAAAACGTATAGCATCCAGAACAGTTATTCACATCCTGAATAATACCTTTATCCAGAGGCTGAAGAACAGAAGTCGTATTGACAGGAAAGAAAACAAGCTTGACTTTGGTCAGCTTCAGACTAGGATGAGAAGGGGCGTTGTCCAAGAATAACAGGTTGTGAGCGAACTCATACATCTGTCCAAATCAGTTACTCATTCCCTAAATAACTGTCCGGTCATTCAGGCTTTCTTGTTTGCGCGCAAGGTAACAGACAGTTGAGTAGGCCTAATGCTCTTGAAGCACTGGGGATTTAAGGACTTTCCAATGATAAGAGTATTCTCAAAGTCACCTTCCAGGTTACAACACAGAACGAGTGTGATTCTGTCCTTCTGACTTCTTCCCTCCCTTGCATGCCTCTCCTCGAATACATAATGACTTGTAAGGTAAGGATCGGCAGAAAAGGACAATTTCGTCCATATTGTAAATGTCACGAGCATCATATCCACAGATAATATCTGGCAGCTTGTCTTTCCATTTGAACACCACATTCTGAGTAATACTAGCACTTTCACCACAGATGTTAGCAAATGGGGCTTCCTTCCTTATATTGACAAAGGATCGTCTTAATGAGATATCTGAGAGTTCATTTAATCTTAACGTTTGATTTTGTTAAAGGAGGAAGTCCATTGGAGGTCAATTCGTATGACGTATCTAGATGAAGATCGCCATGGTTACTGTAACGGTAACTTTAGTGACGATGAACTCAAATGTCCCGCCAAAATTATGCTCGACATTCTAAAATGTTTAAAGTGTTTACGGGATGGTGTATATGATAAGATAGACGTGAGTATGTTAGCCCTTTTTACGATATATATCTATATTTAATGTTCTATATCATGTTTAATACATTAGTGGATGTGTTATACAATTGTTACATAATACGACCTGTTAGCTACTGACGAAAGGTTGTTTCTACAGTAGCATCACATTATCGGTAATCTGATTCATCACATCTCACTCAGATGATCTTGATAGATAATAACATCCAATATTGACAAGACTTTACGGAAAATGTCAATGAATATTTAGACTAAATTAAAAATAACAACAACAACAAAACCCAATGATTTATGTTGTTTAGCATACACGATGCACAACATATTGCTTTTTTCATTTAACAGCAAAAACACTACGAGATTTTAGAAATAGAGAGAAAGACTGCAGAATTCAGACGTAAGTATTATATTTTGTGCTAACTCTTGATAAGATCAAATTGTTTCAATGACCAGCTTATACGATATCAAAGAGATTTAGTCCGCCATCTTCAACTCGTCTACAGCTAATCACATGTTTCTCCTTTTTTAAAATCTTCCACGGCCTTCTTGAGACGTTTGACACCAAGTTAGCTTCTTCACTTCATTATCTTTGTACTCATTTACATACACTAGGTATGTGCTTGTTCATTGATATACCAGGTAGAACAACGCTGTTTATACTAATATTGACACGGTACCGTAGTATAATTTCAAATGATTCGACAGTGAATGTTTTCACAGTTCATGCATTAAATAAAATGACATATTTGGCGTACGTTGTAATTACAGATCAGTCCGACTGTATACAAGGGCAGCTAATGGAGGAAAAATTACGTATGGCACAAAAGGTCATAGATGCGGCTCGACAAGAAGGAAAACTTCAGTATTTAGAAAAATCTTTACAGGAAAAGACTGATAGACTTCACGAGTATGTGATTTTATTTGATTTATATACAGGGGAGGGGAGGGTTGAAAAAGGTCATTAACGAAGGTGTTTTATGAAGGTATAGAGTCTCCTGTTTCATTGGTCAAACCAACTTAATGTTACGTTCACTAAATGAGAAAAGTGGTAACCAATATGAAACTAACGTGAACACAAACAGATTCAGAAAAGACCGTTCTTATCCACACAAGGATGTGGAATGATTTCACACAACAGCATTGCTGGAACGACGCCATTTTGGTATCTATTAATATTTTAGTTAAATATGGGTGAGCTACAAGAGAGGCACACTAAAACAATGAAATCACATTGTGATAACATGACAATATGAGAATATGCAGAAAACATTTGTATCCAATTTATTCTTATTTTTTTCCCAGAAAACAAAAAAAGTCATTCTTGAATTAATCTAGCATAATCTAAATTTCCTTTACAACAAAGGTATTTCTCGACATTTCTCCACGAATTCATATAGTCGTTTTAGATTCAGAAAAGCAATAAATTTGGAATTATTGACTGAACCATACAAATAAGGCTGACACCAAGAAACCGTGAAGGTTAATTATTTTCCCCAAATTCCCGAAGTGGTTTCCGTACGTTTTAACACCTGAATCAGAAAGTCGAGAAATTTAGAAAGGAAGAATAGAATATTGCCATTAGAATCACGAAACACATTTTGAAATTGTTTATTTCTTTTTTAACGGATTTTTCTTTTTATATCTTTTGCTGTAACAGATTACAAAGAACGAGTTCTGTGAATCTTTGGGACAAAGAAAAAGAACGCATACTGAAAGACTCGAATAAAAGGTTTGTACATAACAATAAACTCACAATATACATGTCTGTATCCCTCTCTATGGTGAAAGTACCCTCATGTCATATCTGTGTTATGGTGAAAGTACCCTCATGCCATATCTCTGTTATGGTGAAAGTACCCTCATGTCATATCTCTGTTATGGTGAAAGTACCCTCATGTCATATCTCTGTTATGGTGAAAGTACCCTCATGTCATATATCTGTTATGGTGAAAGTACCCTCATGTCATATCTCTGTTATGGTGAAAGTACCTTCATGTCATATCTGTGTTATGGTGAAAGTACCCTCATGCCATATCTCTGTTATGGTGAAAGTACCCTCATGTCATATCTCTGTTATGGTGAAAGTACCCTCATTTCATATCTCTGTTATTGGTGAAAGTACCCTCATGGCATACCTGTGTTATGGTGAAAGTACCCTCATGTCATATCTGTGTTATGGTGAAAGTACCCTCATATCATATCTGTGTTATGGTGAAAGTACCCTCACCACATGATTTGATATGGACGTTATATTGTAACTTTAGTTAACACACTTCTCGAAGATATAGCTGACATTGTATTGTCCCAGATCATAATGATTGCAATGTTTAAATGATGATAGATTTCTCGCTGAGGTCCTGTATAAAGTATCACTTTATTAGTATTTCTGTTTATGTTTTTAAATCTTGATGGCAATGATACCATGATATCAATTTTATGATATTATATTGTATCACGTGACGAATTAAGATGAAGCATCAAAAGTTTATTTCTAAGACATTATAAAATACTTCAGTTATATTTGTAAAGAAAGAGAATTAGGATCTACTTTGAATTTCATATTAGACGCTTCATCTCATTCATAGTTTGTTCTTATTTCAATAAACTATTTTAGCAAGATAACATTTTTACAGAACATGAATCGTCTGATTGAATATCTCGTTTTCATATTTATTTTCAGAATCGCAGAACTTGAGCAAGAATTGGCAAGTGTGCGGAACAGCCAAAACAACATGAATCGTAGAATGTCGGTAAGTAATCAGGCACTATAGATGGTGGAAAGACATGCAAACCACTGGTATCTTTCATTACAAATTCAGAGTAGTGTCAGATACAGAAATAACTGCATCATACAGGCGTATCGTCTTTCTAGAACTTGTAAGTGATGCTTAGAGGCAAATATAAGAATTAGTGAGGTTTAGCTTCGATAGGGTTTCCACACCTGTTTATCTACAGGGGAATGAAGGCGTCCGAACATCTTCTTTAGAGACAGGAATCATCTTCATTTAGATAGAGGAAGCATCTTCACTTGGCAACAAGAAGCATCTTCATTTAGATAGAGGAAGCATCTTCACTTGGCAACAAGAAGCATCTTCATTTAGAAACAGTGCTCATTTTTCATTTAGAAACAGGAAACACTTTCATTTAGCAACAGGAAGCATCTTTACTTAGAAAACGGAAGCATCTTCATTAAGAAACAGTTTCGGTGCTTGAAATCACTCAGACTGTTGATATGGAGACAAAACAAAACATATAATATAATGATGATCTGAGCTTTGCTTTTGTTGTTTTCATCTTGATCCAAAGTTGAATTGTTTTGTCCACGCTTTGTCTCATATATATTTTTATTTAGCAATATTAACGTCAGATTTACTCTGATTCGGCTAGTGATAAAGTTTATCGTCTTCATTGTCAATCACTTATCAATGTAATGCCCAGTTAACCCAGTATCTATTGGAGATTTTATTATCAATGAGTAGAATTAAAAGGAGCTTAATTGGTTTCTTACAGAAAATCGACGACCAGTATAAAGCTCTTAAGTTACGACAGGAAAAGACTAGTGGAAGTCTAGGGAGTGATTCAGGTATGGTGTCGGAGAGGTTCTTTATCATGTTTCTAAACAGATGGGGTTTTATCGGAAAAGGGTGCATAAATAAGACTTCATATGAATTTGAAAAGCACGTGTCACATGTTAATAAAAAATACAACAGGAGGGGCGGAATATTCCTTATGTCAAAAAAAAAACACAATGGAAAACTATCTAGATAAATTAATCACTAAGCAAACCATGTATTGACAGATAAGATAATGTGTTGATTAGGAATCTAATAGACAAAGTATTATTACAACATTTTACCAATCTTACACGAGCTCATAAGGTAACCAAGTTTTATTTATCAAAATCAAAATGAAAATACCAATACAGTTAAATTTGTTTGATAATTTCTGTATCATTCTTCTGAAAAAGGGGATTATTCAGCAACTATTAACATTTATCTGAATTTCTTAAGTAATTTGAGTACATTTTCAGAAATATATGGTAAACGTAAATACAATTAGCAATGTGGTGAAGAATTCTGAGAAATGTGTAGTGTAATGTGATTGGTTATTGATACGGGTTTGTTGAATTTGTGTTTTGTTGTGATTATAAGCAATCTTTTAATCCATAGAAAACATGTATCGGTCAAACCTGTAAAATGATAGCATACTTCAAGTCCATCCTCACATTTATAATTTCTATCGGCCAGACCTGTAAAATGATAGCATACTTCAAGTCTATCCTAACTCTTATTATTTGTATCGGTCAGACCTGAAAAATGTAAGCATATTTCAAGTCCATCCTTACATTCATCATTTCTATCGGCCAGACCTGTAAAATGATAGCATACTTCAAGTCCATCCTTACATTTATCATTTGTTTTCGTCTGACCTGTACAATAATGATTTTTCTAATTACCATGAAAGTTACCCACCATTGTATTGCTGTATTTTGTCCTTGTAGATGGAGATGAAGTCAATTCGCTGAAGAGAGAAGGTTACATCAAAGAAAAGGTAATATCTATAGACAATTCGTCTAGACAGTAACGATGTCTTTTGGCTAGGACTAGGAGCCAGTCAGGGTTTTTTCAGTTCTGGTTTTAAGAGTTATAAGAAAATACTTGTACGCCAAAAACCGCATTTGTTCTCGGTACTGTTCGTTCGTTCTTGTTATCGTGGTAATTGAGAAAAAATAGACAAGTGACATTATATCGAGTTGGAAAATACGGCATAAAATTCATTCTGTATTGATTATATTTTCTATGACTTCGGAAATATATTCGTTTCCATGATATACAGATTTGTTCCACAAAGACATGCGAACTCAAAAGATCTGTACTAACTCCGCTGGGTCGGATGTCAGTGACTTTTTAGTTTTATTATGCGAATCATTAAAACTAATCATGATATCTGTAGAATTATTCTGTGCCTACAGGACATAGTCCATCTAGAAGGAGAACTCTACACCCAACAAAAGTTATTTGTTGGTGTACTTGGTGGACTGCGGACGGACATCAAGTAAGTCCTCACGCGTATTTCACTACCCTGTTACCAGGATAATCAGAAAAACTCGCCCTTGTTTATTTATCATAAATCATTCATTTACCGCTTGCACTTAACATCTGATTCTGCCTTTCGGTTTTTCGTTAGACGTGACAATATAGGACAGTTTATAGAATGTTTGAAGTATATCTCCAAGAAACGAAATACAGGTACTGGCCAGAAAACAGATACAGACAAGAATTCAAAGATACAACCATTGCGTTCAACTGGACCACTGAATCTTATTCAGAATAACGCATCACATCATGTTTGAGTACTGATCTGTAACCAAACCAGTCATTATTCTTCAGATAATACTTTGTTGACAACAGAAACAATTTACATACAAACATGTTTCCTTAATCACTGCCATCATGAAATGGTGATTGAAGATGATAATATCGTTTTGCTGTAATCTTTGATTCTTCACAAATAAATGTATTTGCGGTTGTGTAACATCAGTGTTTAATATATCTACGGCTTTATTTATTTGAATGATATTTAATTGAAATATGTTTTCTGGAATTTGAAATGAATCATTTACGTGAAATGTAATTACATACTTTATATCTCGAAGTTCTCGAACATTTGAATTTTCGATATACATGTATACATGGTATAAATTATATGAAAAGAAATCTTTAAATTGGTTGTCTTTATTGTAATGAAAAAGAACTATAGATGTGGCTGTAACGTTACAATATTGCGAGAATGGGACTTCTTAATATATAACGATAAATTTGCATGTCTATAGCAAACTCAGTGAGCAGTTTTACGACACTACGACACACACGAGAGATCCCGCCTTTGTGAAGTTGAGTCGGACGTTGGATAAGCTGTACGATGCGACGTCACAAGCTAAACTAGAATCTGCCAAGATGATGCTCCCGCCCCACTACACATACTATGATACGGTATGTAAACATGTGTTCTAGTCATCCTCAACCTAATATACATAATTTATTTAAAGTATTAAAGTATATTTTTTATTAACGCCATTTGATGACTTGGAGCGATTTGAACACTATCATTAAATGCTTAAGTCTCAGATCTGTGATATAAATAAATAAAACGTCAGTAAATTGGAATATTTGAAACTTTTTAAATTTGCAATTCTTCAGAAAAGAAAACAGTTGGAGGTGAAGATTGTACATAAAACATACTATTGAATACACCCTAAAAATATTTTTGCACGTGTAAGAGATGGTGATGGAGAGTATTTATAGTTTTAAATTAGTAATGTTTTGATGAGTGGTGATGAAAGGTTGTTTCACACCATGTTAGCTGTAGCTTTTAATGTTCTTTTCAGGACTTAAAATTAAGACGTATCAGACGATTGTCTAAAGTTCCCGCTGTGCCACAAATTGTTACACAAATTCCGTAAGTATATCATAAAATACCTACAGTGGTAAATATATACGGACGTAAGAATATGCACTTGTTTTGCTGTCTGTAACTTTGATGATCGTGTAGATATTCTTTTAAAGTTTCTAGTTTTAGTTACAAAATCCTGTCTTTTCAGAGCGAAACCATGTTTCATTAGAGAGTATACGCCACCCTCACAACTAAATGGCAGTCTAGCCAAACGACGCAATGAAGTGTTGATGCCACCGGTTTGTAAGTGCAATCTAGTCTTGTACCGGGAGTAAAAATCTCCTCAAATAGTTCCGATTATACAAATATACAATAAAAAAAATGATAAATTAAAAATAGAAGATACACACTGCACACAAACAGTTGTTTCCTAGTATTTGGAAGACTGGCCGACAAAAGAGACCAACCATCTTTCCTCCTTCCTGCTATTGATCGTATGATTTCAATAATTGGATAATCAATTCATATAGATAACGCATGGAAATCTACACAATATTTTTTTCAATTTTAGTTCCCAGCTCAAAGAGGTAGAAAAAATAGTATTATTATTTAGTTTTTGTTTTGCGAGATAAAGTGTTATGTGGATCAACTCCTATATATGGGGTGATCAAGTATATATGGAAATGTTGAAAATGACTGATTATAATGTCCCCAGTTAATGTTTGATTTGTCTTAAACAGCGGAGAATCCTGTAATCGTTGATCCCAACACAAACAAACTCAACGGCACAGTCTATCTTCGTCACTTCGCTCACATGTCGCAGAAATTTGTGAGTACAATGTTTGATTTGCTTACATTTGACCGCAAAATGCTCTTTGTATCAACCTATTTTTTGAAAGTGACATTTCGTCTACTTCATACTTAAATATAAGATAAATTCGCGATCACATCTCTGTTTCTCCTCAAACATTATTGACGCCTGCGTTTAATTTATAAGACTTTTTACCTGAAATACTCAGCGATATTTTATCGTAATATATTTGCAGCTGTTAGATCACTGGGCCAAATTTAAGGAATTTGACAAGAATGGTGATCTGATGCTAGATATGCAAGAGGTTGGTAGAAATCTTTTTCATTATTTTCAAAATTTTGTATTTTTCTATCGATGTCCGACATGGTTTGTAGTTCATGTCTTGTTTTGTTTTTATCATTATGTTTATTCAAACGCTTCACTCTTTCACAGGTCACTAAAATTCTGACATCCCTTGGCTGTGCTTTCACTCATGGGCAGATTGAGGTATGCATTGGTTTATTTTTTCTGTATTTAAATAGGAACCAGTGATAAAAAAATCATTTCCAAATGCAATGTGTAAACCACGCGTAACATAATGAAAATGTCGTTTATTACATTTTATCAGAGTATTTTATATTGGAAATAAACGCCCTAAAGTAACATTCAGGACTTAGTAAATTTTTAATCACTCTATCGAGACGTTTGATACATTTTTGTAAGATTTCCTTTGTATTAACACTACCAGCATTATACTTGCTGCTGTTTTAATATTCTTCTGTATTTTCCCGTGCCTGTGTTTTCCCCCTGTAAATTCTGTCAATGTATTTATTGTCAGTCAGCTTCATAAAAAATGCCCACGCGAGGTTAGGGATATTGCTTTATATCCATCATGTCCATTTCATCCTGGCGATTCTTTTTGGTGACAAATCTAGAACGTTGCTATGATATCTACTTATCTGAATTATACAATTTGTCATACTAATATTAAGCATTCTAAAACGCCCACGGAACACTGTAAACACAGCCAAATAAATAACAGGACAGGTGTGTCCTTATCTGAGTCGTTTTGTTACAGAACTTTTAGTGATTATATCTATGTACAGTAAAACTTCGATGTGTCGAAGTTCATGGGACCGTCGAGAAAACTTCGACACATCGGGACTTCGACTCATGAATGGTGACCGTCCAACCACAAAAAATACACCTGATGTGTATTGTGTCCGTTTGTCTTATATGCAGAGTCCCTTATCAATCAATATCTCGTGTTGATCGCTCGCATAATCTATCAAACATCGGAGAAAGGAAAAGAATTCATATGAATTTTAACATGTTTATTATAAAGAAAAAAGACATCAAATAACAACGAATAACAATGCAACATACCACTTTCATAGAATCATTCATACACTACAGTGCAGCATGGTTGTATCGGTGATGAGAGTTCGGTTCACTTCCGGTATGTGTATTTTACTGATTTCGAAAAGGACGGAACAACATACATACGTAACACACATGTAAGAATGCAAGCACAATATACATTACATATCTTAGCACTACATCGCAATGCAACATTTTCTTTAAATCCAAATTAAACAAAGAAACGATGTCCTGAAAAAAATCACTAATCTCAATACAGGAATCAGTCATGTTGCTCCACCGCGAAAAAATCCTCCATTGTCATTTGTTTCATGTCTAATCCACGGAGATAATGTCTATAGAACAAAGCACTAATGTCACTGACTTTAGTACTTGTAGTACTATTAGTAGCCAAAAGTGTGAGCAGTTATTCTTGTTAGAAGTGTTTATGTTCCATTGTATGTCCGGCTAGGAATATTCATTTAACTTTATGGACTAAAAAAAAATTCTGAAGAGTCTTGTACACCTCTCTCGGATGTTTGTTTAGTACCATAACCAGTCAGATAAGAATAGATTTAAAACTACACACTTAGTATCGTATGTACGATGGCCTGATAATCATCCTCGATACACCAGGGGTCACTCTCTCTCCCTCCCTCCCTCCCTACCTCCCCCCCCCCCCCCCCCCCCCTCTCTCTCTCTCTCTCTCTCTCTCTCTCTCTCTCTCTCTCTCTCTCTCTCTCTCTCTCTCTCTCTCTCTCTCTCTCTCTCTCTCTCTCTCTCTCTCTCTCTCTCTCTCTCTCTCTCTCTCTGTCTCTCTCTCTCTCTCTCTCTCTCTCTCTCTCTCTCTCTCTCTCTCTCTCTCTCTCTCTCTCTCTCTCTCTCTCTCTCTCTCTCTCTCTCTCTCTGTCTCTCTCTCTCTCTCTCTCTCCCCGACTCCCCCTCTCTTTTCCCTCCCCCCTCTCTCTACACCCTCCAAGCTCCATGTGCGACAAGCTTGTAGACAAGACTAGTATGATGTACATCAAATAAATCACGATGTCATATAACGGTATATTGTAATGACTTTGAAGTTGGGTCTCGCGCCCTTGAGAGCTTCAAAGGAACACATCAGTCTGTGAACGGTCATGTTTTACTTCCTGGAAGCAATCAAATTATTTAGTTTGTGCCTACAGTTTGACATGACATGTTCGAGGGGTGCAGAGAGCGAAAAATTGAGCGAACCCCAACCCCCCCCCCCCCCCCCCCTCGGAGTATCGAGGATGCATAACCTCCGTAGTATCGAGGATGCGTAACCCCCGGGGTATCGAGGATGCGTAACCCCTGGAGTATCGAGGATGCGTAATGATTTATTGTGTAAAGGCCAATACAAAGGTTTACATATCATTTATCTTTTCACATCTTGCCTACAGGAGGCGATGACGGAAGTAGATGTGGATAACTCTAACTCACTCGACTTTTACGAGTATATGTTGGTGGTGGAGAAAGTCGTACGGCGATCCGGTTGGTTTATCAGATCATTTTTTCGTGACATACAAGCAGTAATCGTGCTTATTTCGTGATTTTAAACATTTCTATTATTCTGTCTATAAAAAATTATATATATCGACCTACCTAGACAGTTTTATTGCACATATACAAATCTATGGAGGCAGTATGTCATTAAATTACTTCAGGCTTCTCTAGGCTGGTTCTCGACCTTGTGAATAGCAATTGAGATATATGAACAATTCAGATGTAGTAATTGAATTGGAAATAGTTTTTCAAAAAATGCAAAAATGCAAAAATAAATAAATAAAACAAGAGAAAATTATTTCTAAGATTTTCCCCATGTTTAGTTATTTTCTTTCTCTATGGGTACTAAATGTAGAAATAGTAAGAGGCATTTCTGTGAAGACAAAATATTTCTTGTCATGTGACTTTTCTTCCTTATTTATTGTTAAATCGTATGATTTTTTTTCAGGTAAAGCCAATTTGTTCACGAAAGGTTTGGCCAAACAAAACAATGCTGAAGTATCGAAAGCATGTGTAATACAATAGTGTTACATATAGACTATTCGCGTGAGGTTGGTTACCATGGTTAAACATTAAGGTCTATGTTAAAAAGACTCTTGGAGTGTGATAGGTTACCATGGTTAAACATTAAGTTCTATGTTGAATAGACTCTCGGAGTGTGGTTGGTTTCCATAGTGAAGTGTGCCAAAATAATATTTTGGAAGTCAATTCGCCAGCTGATGTCAGTGAGTGTTGTTGGAGATGGCTACACTGCCTTCACGGCCATTTTGTTCTCTGTGGTAACCAGACGTAACAATTATTCATCATAACAGCAGTGACGGTAAGAAACTAGTACCGCTGTTGTTATGTTTACCATAGTTGTCATAGCAACCATTAACACGCTGAAGTATATTTGGTTACCTTCTGTTGAGGAGAGACGATGTCGTGTTGGCTAAGAATATCTGGTTACTTTGAACAGTATATATACACTGAAATCTATTTGGCCATGTTGGAGACAGAAGAAAGCGTGTAGTCAGCATATTGAATTGTCATTCAATATCATACACGATCACGTCATCTAGCTGAAACGAGGATTCAGGGAGATTGATATACTAACTAATTGTGGATTATGACGTCTCTAGCAACAGACACAATTAAATTTCATGGTAACCGCTGAACAATCATAAATGTTTTATATAACATATTATATCATCATCAGAGTTATAGTGTTGGAAAGGCTCGTCATCTTCGAAGATTTGGATGATAATTTACGGCACCGTTGTCAAGGAAACCACTGTCTTGGTTAACATCCGTTTCTGGAATCCCATTTCGTCTCTCTCATTAAGTTTCATAATTAACTATGTTTCATCCGACTCAAATTACAGAGACGCTGGCATTTTCACATACACTGTAGATATCATGTATTGAAAGTGAATGTACACGCCGAAGCTACGTGTCCTGCTATTGGTTGTTTCTTGGTATTTTCATTCTTAAGACATTTCTTCGTGTCGGTGGGATTATATATATAGATCTTCTTCTTGGGTTGTGTACTTTATAGAACTACTTTCACTTTCTCACTACAGATAATGAAAAACTTAATTTGTATTCATTGACATCATATTTCCTGAAAATACCTCGATAGCTCTGGAGAATTACTATTTTCTAACGAGTCGTTACTTAACACTACGTGTAAAGCGTTCAAACTTATTGCTCTCGTGCTCTGTTGAGTAACGATTTCTGTCTCTTTTTGACTAGTGAACGTGGACTACCTATTACAATCTTGTTCATATGCCGATGTTTCTTTAACAGCACTATCAATATATTGTATAACATGTCGAGAGTAATTATACTATGCATCAAATATTTTCTTACAGTGAAGATCATTGACATAAAACATCTATACCTATATATAAATATTCCATTTTTCGAACTTCTCTTCAATAAATCCTTAGCGTGTAAGCAGTACAAACCCAATAATGGTGACTCTTTAGTTTTAGATAAGACAGACTTATATATTTGCCTCGATGTAAAATATGTGTAATACATTTACGTCTGTATCATGTAAATAAAGATGCACTGAATATAAAATGGTGTATGACTATTTATACCACATTAGGTTGGTGTTATTCAGCTTGAAACGGATCCATTAATCATTACAATTATTGTATAAACACATATCAATTCCAGACGTGGTATTAAATGTAAACGAGTTTTGATTGGCTGATACGGTGAACTTTGACCTAAAAGGCGCTTTCGCGGAAATGAAGTTGCGTCAGAGGTTGATGACGATTATTTTTGTATGGTTTCTTTATAAGGATTTCTACCAATATATTGCTTTGAAGATAGCAAACGCCTTATGTACTTTTTATGATTTGTAATTAATTATTGTATTTCCAAATATTTCAGAAATTGTCAGGTTTACATACTAATTAGCGGCATTTCAATGCTGGTCATATGGTAGAAATCGGTAAAACAAAGTGACTAAAGCTGGTGTATTGTTTTGTTTTTTCAATTGTATAAGAGATAGTAACTGGTGTGAAAGAAATACCATACACAAACACCAATTGTTGTGTAAACCCATCTCTGTATACACATATACTGGAGATACATGTACATCTGGATGATGACGATGATTATTATTATTACAATCTTAATGGTCCGTCAATACATAAAAGGTCATTAGGGCCATCAAACGGTAAAACAGACAACGATCCAAAAGGAAACAACATTAAACAAACCAAAAGGTAAAAGACAAATGTTAAAAATCTTAAATGGGTATGTTAACACAAAATATTGAAATGGTACGTCATAGTCTATTATATAGACCAACATCTTTCAGGTAATGTGGAATTTTACAAATCTCAACAGTTTCAAAAACTTCAGGATGAGAGAATTTTGTAAGTGTAGGTGTTCATAGTATATATTTTTATAGAACCCATAATAAAAACACTTAATCACCATACGACTTTGAAATGTTAATAAAGACAAGATTTCATATGGTGGAAATATCATCACAATACAACTTCAAAATGTTGGTAAAGAGACATTGTCATTTGGCCGAGACCTCGTAATGACACAACTTTAAAATGTCGGTAAAGAGACATTGTCATTTGGCCGAGACCTCGTAATGACACAACTTTAAAATGTCGGTAAAGAGACATTGTCATTTGGCCGAGACCTCGTAATGACACAACTTTAAAATGTCGGTAAAGAGACATTGTCATTTGGCCGAGACCTCGTAATGACACAACTTTAAAATATCGGTAAAGAGGCATTGTCAATTGAACGAGAAATCGTAACGACACAACTTTAAAATGTCGGTAAAGAGACATTGTGATTTGGCCGAGACCTCGTAATGACACAACTTTAAAATGTCGGTAAAGAGACATTGTCATTTGGCCGAGACCTCGTAATGACACAACTTTAAAATGTCGGTAAAGAGACATTGTCATTTGGCCGAGACCTCGTAATGACACAACTTTTAAAATATCGGTAAAGAGGCATTGTCAATTGAACGAGAAATCGTAACGACACAACTTTAAAATGTCGGTAAAGAGACATTGTAATTTGGCCGAGACCTCGTAATGACACAACTTTAAAATATCGGTAAAGAGGCATTGTCAATTGAACGAGAAATCGTAACGACACAACTTTAAAATGTTGGTAAAGAGACATTGTCATTTGGCCGAGACCTCGTAATGACACAACTTTAAAATGTCGGTAAAGAGACATTGTCATTTGGCCGAGACCTCGTAATGACACAACTTTAAAATGTCGGTAAAGAGACATTGTCATTTGGCCGAGACCTCGTAATGACACAACTTTAAAATGTCGGTAAAGAGACATTGTCATTTGGCCGAGACCTCGTAATGACACAACTTTAAAATGTCGGTAAAGAGACATTGTCATTTGGCCGAGACCTCGTAATGACACAACTTTAAAATATCGGTAAAGAGGCATTGTCAATTGAACGAGAAATCGTAACGACACAACTTTAAAATGTCGGTAAAGAGACATTGTAATTTGAACGAGACCTCGTAACGACACAACTTTAAAATGTCGGTAAAGAGAAGTTCTCATGTGGACTAGACTTCCTCACCAGATAATTTCTCCTTTGATGATGAAAATGGATTTTGCATACAGTCCAAACTTTATCAATAATACCAGAGCGTGTTTATCCTGCCAAATTATGTGATAACTGGTCACGCCAATTCACACTACATACCAATCACAAATGTACGTTTCGTAGCAGAATTAAAATTGTATAGAAAAATTTACAATATAGAAACATTTAAGTAAACTAATTAATGGACTGCTTTGTACGGCTGTTTTGTCCTTCGGGAGCATAGATTATGTAAACTTAGGAGGTAACTGAGAAAAATAAAAGTTGGTCTAAATAAAAGTGAAAAATGAGATAGGGAGACATGTTACCTCAAACTGATATCCATAACGGAAATTTGAATATGAAGACAATTTTTGTCGATTTCTTGGGACCCCATCGGCTGTAACAAATTTTCAATGTATGTCAAACGAGAAAATGTAGGCTCATATTTAACATCTTAATGAGAAGTTACAGTTTGTTCAGGAATACACTATATGCTTGTCGAGTGAAAAAAAATGTCCAAAATCTAGACAATATTGAAAACATTATTAATTTTCCATAATTTATAAATGTATATGAATTTGGGGTGGTTACCATGTAACCGTGATATAAATAATAGATAACTTTTGCTATGGTATCAAAGATGTATTCCAAAGTTGAAATACAGCGATTTGAGATAGTTTGTTTATAGGTATTAAAATTAATAGATTTGGGATCAAAAAATGTCGAAACTAGTTATTATCCATTCGCAAAACAGTCTTTGTTCCTTTTAAAAAACTTACAAAACTGCACAGAAATTAATCTTTTAAATTGAAAAAATCTTAAACCTATCAGCCATAAATAGATAGCTTGTGTTTTATCTGGAAATCTCTTCTCTGGTGTGATTTGTATGTGATGACATTCAGGAAATTGACCCTTGTTTGTAAACACGATACCAGTAATGAACTTCCTTACTCAGCACAAACTTGTTTATTTTATATTGTAAAATGACTTCCTCTTTTGTCATGGTAGATACGTTTATTTATTGCTCTCTGCAACATTTAATGACAAAACGACAGTGATTGTTATAGTCTATATAAATCATTGTACATGTATATTCAAACATTATATTATTTATATACAATGTAATACTAATAGTAGATATTAGTATCATATTCAAACAATTACGTGTGAGTTTACTTCATTATTCGTTGATACAAGATACATAAAAGAATGTATATTTCACAACAGCTGCGCTACAGTGCATCCGAGAAGTCTCTGTGAGGGGAAATGTGGTGTGGAAGCTGATCTCCATAACATTTCACGTCCACTGGCTGCAAAGCGAGTTGCGTTGACCATCGTGATAAAAAGGTACATCGTTATGTTGTTTAGCGCGACAACAATTATTTTTGTGTAAAGAAACCGAGCAGACGTCTACAGTATGAATCAAAATCAAAACCGTAAA